AAATATCTAATTACATTAAATATTATTAAACTATTAGAACTACTAATTATTACCTCTACATGAATGGTTTTATGTATAAAAATCACATAAAACATACAAATTTGATTTTTTTAACTAAGAATATATCTTGTTTTTTTAACAAAGTCTTTGCCTATAAAAACAAGCTAAGGATCTTAAATCCAACAAGGCTAAGATTTTGTGATTTTTTGGTCCTAAATAAACTTCTATTATAAAATAAAATGAGGGATCTAAAAAAAAATAAGACCTTTATTAGAAGTTATATAAGATTCTAAGTGTACAATCTCTATTATAGTTAGAGAGACTTGTTTTTTGATACATTATCTTTTTTAGAAATGATGCTCTTTATTTTGTAGCTATGTTATTTCTTTGGATAATTTTGAAGAATGTACTTGCATTCTTCATAATATAGGTATAACCTTCTTGATGACAATAAGTCTTTTCTTGTTCAATAAGAGGTTTAAAATATACCATATCAATTTACATTGGTTCTGGCTTTGATGAATAAGTTTCAAAAAACTTAAGAATTGCCGTCATTACTTGACTTGTTCTTCTTCAACTAAATCTTTGTTCTTGATGCCTTTCAAATAAACAATTGTCACATGCAATAACTTAAGCAATAAATTTTTGCAAAGATTTTACTTTTCATATTATCAATAATAAATCTTTAATGTTGTCCTTCTATCTATATCAAAATTGATTAAAAAGGGCTTTTTCATTCCAATGCACATTACAAATAAGGTTTTGAATATATACAAATTACCACATTTAGTAGATCAATATTGGATTAAAAATAGAATTGTTTGCTCCAATTGTAGAATATTTTACCTTATAGATCATTGTAGAAGATTCAATTAAGTTATTTCTTCAACTTCTTTTTCAAGAGATTATAATAAACAAATTAAAGGAAATACGTAAGAAATTAGATTTTTGGATCTTATTATTACAAAGAATCCATTAAATATATATTATGACCTTTTAAATAATGGTCAAAATCATTATCCTTCAATGATTGTTCAAATCAAATAATCTAAGAATCTTTAGCATATAACCAAAACCGTTTCCAAGTCTAAAATCAAAACCAACAATCAAAAAAAATTTAAGATATTAAACATATGATGGCTTAATCTGATGTATCTTCTATATCAAATTTACCACCTCTTCAATTCAACTTGATATAATTAGATAGAAAAAAAATCTCTTTAGAAAATGCCTATTTGTCTTCTTTGGTTATAACCAAAAGTATGAGTGTTGAAAGATCAATAGACTTAGCACAATCTGAAAAAGATGAAATATCAATAAATACTTCAAAAGAGTCACCTAAGTTTATAGAATTGTAAAAACTACTCAAAGAGTAGCTAAAGAATTAAAAGACAAACAAGCTTTTTTTTAGTTGAATGTAATTTAGAAGAGTACCAATTTGTAGACAAAGAAGGGCCTTGAATTTTTAGTATTTTTTTAAAATAACAAATAATTAATAGACCTTCAACCTTGTAGAATCTTATGATTTATGGTAAGTTTTTTGTAAACTTAGAGTCAATATTTCTTTTAGTCAATTGATTCAAGTAGCACCAACTATGAAAAAGGATCTCAAAGAAAGAGTAATATTACAAAAAAAAAAAAAAAAAAAAAAAAAAAACCAAGAATATAGAAAGAATAGCTAAAGTTAAAATTAATGATTTAGAAGGAAATATCACCTTAGAAGGACAGTTAAAAATATAGACGTGTTGAAATAGATGTAGAAATAGTGGATATAATAATTCCTAAGGTCATAATAAATGATAGAAGTAGCATCAATATTATGCATAACTCCCTCATAAATAAATAAGTTTAAAAATCACTAACAAGGAAATTATGAAAATAAGCTTAGCTAATCAAAGGTATTTTTAAATTTTACATCAAATTTGTGATCTTTTTATGTAAGCAAGAGGTGTAGTTTATATAGTATTATTTTATATGCTCCATTTCTATGAAGAAGTAAATAGTTATCTTCTTTATTAAAAAGATGATGGTTGAGGTAATTAAAAAGAGTAATTAATTGAGGAGCTATTAAGTCTTACTTTACTTTTGGACTTATTGATAATTATACAAAAATTATAGTAATTGATTACTTTAGACTCCAACCTTTGGAAAGAACACCAACAACTATAGAACCTAATCAAATTAGTTTTTTTCAATATACTACAACTCCAAATATTGCTCCAATTAAATATATTAGTCTTGGATTATATAAATATGAAGATGGAGGTGATTTTTCTAAATTATTAGCAAAAACTTTCTATGAGGAAGAAGACATTCATATATGATTTGTAGAATTTGAAACCTCAACTTTATCCATTGTCATTGATAAAAGATTGTATAATTTTTAATCTTTGAAACAATAATTAGAGCATTTAAAAGGATTTAGTATGACTCAAAGATTTGTATCTTAATACATAAAAATTATTCACATAAAAAAATTAAAAAAAAAAAAAAAAACTTTTTTTTACTCTAAGGATGTAAATAATGATTTAAGATGCTAAAAAACTAGAATTTTTAGCCATGTTTGATATAATTTAGATAAGACCTTGTATTATCAAAGAAGTCTTTGATAATAATTTAATTCAACTTAAGACATTAAATGGAGAAGACTTTCCAACAAGAATTAATAGAAGTCATTGTAAAAAATATAAGATAAAAATATTAGTTCCAACACCAATTTACCTTGTCATTTTTATAATAGTTTTAAGTCTAATCTATTGATTGCTTATAACCTTAATATATTGTGATACTAGGCTGAAGGCATAGGTGGCAAGTATTGTTAACTATTTTTTTCTTTGAGTTGAGATCATTTCCTATATGGTTATTAGGACTAGATTAAGTTCTTATGGATTTAGAATCATTTAATCTCTAATTCAAATCTAGATAGATTTTTAAGTACTATCTATATTTAATTAGTAACAAAGAAAAAAAATATTATATATGGAGACATGTTGAGTCCAATATATATAGTTGTTCTTAATTTTTGTTCTTAGGTCAAAGTCTAATTATTTTTTTATATATTTTTCTTTTTTAATAGATAATAATATCTTTTTTAATAAATTATTTTATTTTTATTTTTATTTTTTATAAACCTTGATAAAAATAAGAGTTGGAATTTTTCTATTCTCAAAAATATTGCTTATTGAAAAATCTATAAATATTATTTAGTATTTAGAAGAAGTACAAAAAAGAACTTTATGTCTTTTTAATTCTTTATGTTAATAATATAATTTTTAATTGATTTAAATTAGTTTTATTACTATAAAAATTTAATAAAGTAGAAATTTATGTATTTAATTTTATACTAATATTATAAAAATATTATAAAAGTTTTTAGAATTTATCTAGAATTTATTTAGGATTTTTAAGGAATTTTTAGAGAAAATTTTAAGACTTTGATAAAATTGAGTTTTATCACCTTAGAAGCTATTATAAAGAAGTAGAGTAAGATTTGAAGGTTATAAAAGTTTCTTATGCTAATTGAATATTTTTAGACACCATGAAAATTTTAAGAGAAGTTAAAATTTATTGAAGATATTTTATTTTTAATATTTTAAATGATTTCTTTATTATTATTATTATTATTATTATTATTATTATTATTATTATTATTATTATTTTTTGAAATATTTTTTTAATTTTTTTAAAGATTTATTTATAATTTGTTTATATTTCTTTTATAATTTCTTTAAAGCTTTTTTTGGATTTGATTAAGGTTTGATTAAGATTATTAAAGTTTAATTAGAATCTTTGACTATATCTTAGAACACAATCATAGTTTGCAACTTTTGTACATATTATTTGATTACAAACTAAGCTAAAGTGGACAAGCACTACTCTACCTTGAGCTACATTTTTTTGTTTTACAATGTGCCATTAGTTGGTGTTTTACATAGCAAAGTTTGACTATCCTTTCTAATATGGAGGCAAAGTTTATGGCCATGGCCACCGCCACCTCCAAAATAATCTAGCTGCGCCATCTTTGGATGATACAACCAAGTTCTACTAACAAACAAAATACATTGCTATTTTTTATCATTTTATTTGGCAACTTGCTACACAACAAAAAAAAATCAAGGTTGATAAACCAAAGTGTAAACATAAAATAATAATAATAATAATTATTATTATTATTATTCACAAACTAAACTTATCTTTATCTCAAACCTAATTAATAAGTTCCAATAAAAAGAGCAGAGACAATCTTGTCAAACTCACAGATAATCTCGTTCGAGATACATGCGTCTGTGGGTCCGAGATTGATTCCTCCTGTCCAATGCTTGGCAACGCGGTGCTCTAATCTCCTGCCAAGGTTTCGCGGACAAATCCGATCAGCTGGTCGAGTCCTTTTGACTTTTGTTATGTCCATTTTGACTTCATCGAGAATCTTGATACCGAACCTCGAGTATTCTGCCCCTTCGCTTGCTTTGACCAACTTCGGCACCTTTGAATGTTACCTGCATGTTGCTACAGCAGCTAATGACTGCATATAAGGTAGGCGCATGATCGGCTCGACAGTCGGTGGAGATCGATGTAACCATTCGTCCTGATCGCGAACAAGTTTGATAGCCGGGTCAATTGGAGAGAAAGATGACCAGCTTTGCTACAAGATGCACATGGGTGATGATGCTGGGATTGTTACTGCTTGCTGCAGACAGCTTCGGCTCAGTTCATGGTGAGCAAAACGCTCCGCCTGAATAAGTGCACAGAAGGCGAAACTAAGCGTTTCCTTCGAGGTTTTACAGTCCATCGTTTAAAAGTTTAAGGCGATGATGTGGAGAAGTGCAAGTTTGCGCGTTTCTAGATGGCACTGAGCTTGTAGTTTAACCAAGGCACTTCCACTCTTCGCAGGACTCAGAACGCGTCAGTACCACATTCACAAGCTTCATGCAGACGACACGTTGCTGAGTAGCCTCGTGGTAACGGTGAGTCATCGGCAAACACTCCGATGAAAAGATACTGCTTAGTTCCACTTAGTCGATTCACGTATCCTCCAAATGCCGTGTTCGTAGACCTTGCTAGTATAAGCTTAATGGAATCTTGGACAATCGCTTGGTTAACCTTTCAAAGAGTATCGTCATGTGGCAGGGTGATATGCACGGCGAGTCACGAGGTCACACCGAAATGGAATGGAAATTGAATTCAGGTCGAAAACTGGTACAGCGGCCGACACCACCGAGTGACCCTGGAGATAATGACATCCAGCGAGGTTAGGCATTTACAACGATCACGCAGATTTGGATAGGATATCTAGTTCGTTGTAGGCATGCCATAAACATAAGAGTCCTGAGTTGTCATTTCTTCGGTGCAACAGAGAGTTAGTTCCCACATCTATTTTACTTAGTGAACTTGAGAAAATTCCTGTCTTCAGAAGAGTGTTTTTTTGAATACGAAACAAAAAAATATCGGTTTCTGTCAGCCTTGCTTGACTTCTGCTTCTTCATTCTCCCACAAGTACCGCAACGATCTCGGAAACGGAGCGCCGCTGCTCAAGTTGTGGATAAGCGCCGCAGCGCATCACACGTGTGCTGGTATGACGGCTTCTGTGGAATCAGCGATTCCCACATCGATCCTTTTCTTTCAGGTGTACAGTTGTGTGCCCAGAATTGGTCACGAACGCTCCAAAACCAGTCGGTACCATTAGTTTCAAGAATGACACCCGAAGTGTGGCTCTTGCCGATTCATCTTCTCTGAATAGAAAAAGAATAAGTTAAATGTTTCTACACATGTCGAAAACAGAAAACATGGCATTTGACCAGAAGCATCTATACCATACATATTTCGACATAATATTTTTCCATTGCTTTTCAGTATTATATAGGTATATTCTCGGTGCATTTTTCAAATTTACAGATAGATTTAATTTGTGTTTTTCCCCTCTCTTCTATCGTGTAACCATTCCACAAGATGTGATTGATATGCACAATGTTTTATTTTCATTTTGTTCCTTCAATTACCATTATCATAGAACTGAAAGATGAACAATAGATATAGCGCTACTTGATGCAAAGAACACATCTACTGTAGTATCTTTCTGCATGAAAATCCACATTTATCTGCTTACAAAGCAATTCCTGAGTCAAACACTCAGAGTGACTTCCTCAATTGTAAATGCTGCTGCAGAAAGTGATGAAGCTAGCTATTGAAGTTTTTAAAATGATCACTGCTGCAGATGATTTGAGCTTGGCTTAGCGCTCACAAACGGCCATTCGGTAACACCTAATTCACCATGACAGATTTGCCAGCACCATTGCAATTGAAAACTGTTTAGATGCAGGTATTTAATAAGAGTGAGTGATGTGGAGTAACAGTTTTTCAGATCTGGCTGCTTTTCATTTGCTCCGTCAGTGGATGATTCCATTCTTCAGATACTGAAAGGACCAGTAATTGCCGAACATAAGCAGATGGCGCTTATTGCAGACGGAAATATGTTCTCAATCAACAATCGGCTCTTTGAATGAAGTGACCTGCAGCCATATCTAGTAGCCTACGTCGAGAAACGCACACCCGCTCTGATGTAAAACTGAAACAAGATTTATCATACTTTGTAGCTAATCAAACGGCACACCAACAGAATACTCGATCAACTGTGGAGTGCTAATCTGCTCAAGCGGCAGCTCCTTAAGTATTCCTTGACCTTCTAGCTTTCGGCGACTTTTCTTGATGTTGGTTCAGTAGCACTAGCTTTCAAGTTTGTTTTAGCAGTAATTCGCACTCAGGTACGATCTCCGTTGCCGGATATCTGTGTGAAACCGCTCAAATTTAATATCTTCGCGAGTACAGGATCCTAAAGCTGGCAAATGCAACTCTGTGTTTCAGCAGAGAGTACCAAGTTTATTTTGCCCTCAACATCATTCTGCCTCCGCTAGTGCTGATAAATGAGTGCAACGGACAGGATCACACAGACGATGGCGAGAGCCCCATCCCTAGTGATGACATCGGCGTCGCTGGTTTCCGTGGGGACATCGTTCACCCTCTTCAGCGTGGCCTTGGCCTTGTTGATGCTGGGGGTCAGAGCTGAGGCAGTCCCGTTGTATACTAGCGTCTTGGTAGCATCTACCAAGACGCTACCAAGACGCTAGTATTGAATTGAGTATTCTCTTCCTTGATTGGAATGGAGAATTCTGATTTTGTAGCCACTTAGATTTTCAACCCATGTATGAAAAAATTTGAAAACATGTAGATATTTACTTTTTTGTCATAGGAATTTGAGCATTATATATCTTTAGAAATTTTCTATAAATATAACATAGTATTCATAGCCAAAAAATTAGAGTGGATTAATTTGAGAGGTTGAATTGCTCTTGTAGTAGCTTGCTAGGAAAATTTTGTAGCCTTATGCTTGCCATGGAGGTATGTTGAGCAAACTTGATTGGATATAGTCTTGAGATAGAGTCAAGTAATTGAAGGGATCTTGATTAATTAATTGAGGTGGTCAATGCTAGCATGAGCAACCCATCGATGCCATAAAGTTTGTTGCAAGTTGAGCAGAGAGGCAACAATTGCAAAATGGATTTGTGGAAGAGACATCATGGCACATGAAATACAAGGTGTCGCTATTTGGGCGAGAAAATCTAAAGCAACAAACTACAGATTTGGCTAAAAAAGGATATCATGTGGATCATGGTGCTTGTGCAAAGAGAGATGGTGGAAATATAAGGCCATGTTGGAAGAGATCACAAGCGTCAATACAGTATGACAATCTAGAGTTAGTTTATCATCAAGGTAAGGTAGTCAAGAACTATAGTTGATCAATATAAAAGAGAGATCCATAGCTATTGTCTAGACAATATTTTTTCTTACAATGGTAGGAAGCGCTTCTTATATATTCATAGTAGAAAGAGGCATTGTAAATGTCTTTACATCGATAGAAGGCATAATTGGAGAGAACTATAGAAGCCATCATATATTATCATAGATAGGGAACATTATTGAAGGAGGTGCCAATAACTAGTAGATATGATCAAAAATGGAAAATGCCTCTAAAAAAGGCTCTTCTAAGAAGTCATTTTAATCAACACTAATGGTTAAGAATTGATAAGAAGTAGACTACTGCATTGTTGAGGATCAAAATGAGGTTGTTGTGTCTTAGGAAGAAAAGTCAATAGCAATAGGTGGAATTTTCTTAATAATAAAATGTGAAGTTGACTAGTGAAGTACTCATGGCAAAGATGATTTTCTTAACCAAGCAAGGTTGTTTACCTCTACATATTGGTTGTGTAGTTTTGTTGAGCCTAGTGGATATAGATTATCATGAAGAAGGTAAATAATAAATATAGTGTTGTCTCTTGCTAAGAAATGATATATATGATTTTTAATTAAAATGCCACCACCTTCAAGATTATAATCATATATTGAGAATAAATTTTTGTGTAAATCTTATATATATATATATATATATATATTGGAGAGACAAAGTGTCTTGCCATTGGTCATTGAAATCTCTACTTTTCATTGGCTATATATGGATAAGGTTGTATCATTGCTAAAGTAGACTTTGTTGTGACCATTTAGAAATGGTTTGTATTTCATAAATTGTCATTTTTCATGTGCTAAGTGGTAGATGGTACCAATATCAATGAGCCATTATATGCCTTTGGTGGTTCCAAGCTTAGACAATTTCTTTGAAAAAAAAGCTCGTGTGATATAAACATGGGCATAGAAAGCAAGAGGTAATTCCTCCATTTATTCTTACTTCCATGGTTGTTTATTTTTGTTGTTGTTATGATTTATTGCTCCTAAATTTGCAACAACTCTTGTTTTGTTTTTGAATAATCAAAATTCTAATGTCCAATTTTCTTGCAATATAAATAAGGAATTGTAGGTTTGTTTTGAGGTTCTGAAAGTTTGTGGTTTTGAAGTGGGTTTGTAAAGTTGCTATTTAGTCTTTCCTTTGCATTCTATAATGAGAGTATGTGAATTAAAAGATGAGCCTTTCATGGTTGTTTCTTCTTGTAAGAGAATTGAAATAAGTTTAGAGAGTCTTACAGTCCGTATTGTACAAAGCATTTGAATCGTAGTGTTATATTGGGATGGCATTGACCTCATGAAAGTGATGAGTTCTATTTAAAGAGAGATGATAACTCCTACAAAATTATATTATTAAAGTAGATTTTTGAAGTTACGTACATGATTACCAATGCTTTGAATTTTATCTTTTGTGTGATGAATTTTTCTTGTAGATGGACTTAAGTGACTATATGACTAGTAGGGTATATATTTAAAAAGGCCAACCGTGCTTTATTAGTTGTTTTGAATCCTTCGATGAGAAAAAATTAGATTTTATGTACAATCCCAAATTGTTTTGGATGCTCCAAAAAGAAAAAATTAGATTTTCTATACAATTCCAAATTCCTACTAAAGCAACATGATTCTTCCAAGTAAGGATTTTAGTTTGATTGATTGATAAGTACTAGCCGCAACGTCAATGAAGCTGCAATAGAAAACCCCGAACTGCGCCTCGCCAGCATTGATCTTCTTCATGCAATGATCATGGCTTGCTCCCACTATGCTGTAGTAGAAAATTCACAGAAGAAAGCTCAAATTTTTAAAAAAATGCACATCTATTTCGCAGTATTAATTGCAGACCCTATAACGCTACATGAATAATACGGAAAGCCTGGTCTGTTGAAATCTATCGGCTCGCACAGGACCTGATGGGAGTATGCGCAAGCTACACCCCTAATCTATCTAGTATTTCAATACAACATACTCTTCTATGGCCTACCAGAGATAGTCAGGCCGAGCTGGTAATTTGAAACACTATTTGCACAAACCACTTTAGGAGCAAGCTTGCACCAAACAATGCAGATTTTACGAAGAAATTAAACGAGATTTGACTGGCATATTCAGATAATGGCATTGGGTTCCATCGTGCATCCCACAGTTGAAAGTGGATGACAGTAGTTATTAATTCAGCCTGGAGACTATATTTCAGAGGACGCATGACAGATCGCGGGGGAAAAAGCTCTACCAAGAATGCTTCTGGGCTCCTGACGTCTCAATTTCAGCCAGAAGCGTTATCATTTGATCGCAGATTCGTTTGTTGTCCTCGTCCACACTCCATGTCCAGCCTGACGAAGGCAAGTTTGCAGGATATCACATGAAAAATCATAAAGAGTTTAAACACGGCCAGAGCAATCAAATTCCAACATGATTTACAATTGTGTCATTCAAAGTGCACTAAGAACGACAGCGCTGCAAGATCAGATGTAGAGACTGGAACAGTGGCGCTTACTTGATGCTGCTGGCGGCGCGGATCCAGGCCCCTGTGCCCAAGCAGTAGACACATCAGGACACCACCAGGAAGAAACCGACCCTGACCTTCGAAATTTCCATGGTTCCAGTTACAAGGAAGACTTAACAAGGGAAGGAAAGATGCGCTCGAACGTCAGTGTTGCTCCAATGCCAAAGTCTGGAGTGATATAATCCAGAACCAGAACAGATTTTTCTTTTATACTGTACTCTACAACACGATTTTAGTATCCCCAACCGAAACACACAGTTCTGCCCCAAGTCCGATTTTGATGCTGCGCAAAGGAGCTTTTATAGGAAAGAGGGCCATTTGCTAGGTCCAACCGCGACATCAATCATCCGTCGAATTCGTCCGAGTCCGCGGAATCAGTGCACATCCACTGTTGTTCAACATAAGACAGGACATTAATCCTTCGTTAATGGATGTTTCGGAACAATCACATCCCATTCTCAATATCCAGTTGACATGCTGGATCAGCTGGCAAAGATATAGCTGGAGTCTAGTTGCTGCAGTATCGCCGATGACGGCGGCAGCAACAATCCAAATGCCAAACCCATCGAGCCCGCTTGAGTTGGTAGCAAGAGCTGTCATTAGCAGAGTAGGTCGGGAGTCCAGCCAGCGTGAGCATGCGAAGGAGGTCAGCATGGCGGGCAACTTGTCGGCACAAGCCCATGGGGTAGATGACCTCCATGTTCGACGCAATCACATCTAATCGTCTGCTTTCGCTTGTGCATTGGGGCTATGAAGCACACGACTCCTACTCTGCTGCATCGATCGCTCGTACCCGAAGACACATAATCTTGTGTGACGAAACTAATCGCATTTCGTAAGCTCTCGCTGGCACGAGGCCTTTCGTTCGTTGTTAACGGCACATGCTCGCAGTCAACGGTTCATATCTTATATTAGGAAGTTGCTGGCCCAGTATTCGCAGCTACTTGCCCATTTTGAAGTCTACACGGTCCGGCAAAGTTATCTGCATCATTACTTGCAATGGATAAAAATCTGAACCGTCGGCTTTCGGTGCAGTGGTGGAGGATCACAGATTACCAGAATAGATTCTTTTGAGCAGAATGGTAGAGTAGGATACAATGAGCAAATCATTGGGGACGTGACCAGTTACATGATCGTGAGATTTATGTAGCAGCTTGTCGAATAAAAGCAGGCGAAGTCTATGAGGACGTTGGAATTTCGAGTCATCTAGCTCTCAGTGGGAGCAATCATTATTGACTCTCGTACAGAAAGGGGGCGGGGTAGGATGGAGGGTGCCGGGGATTAAGAGGTGAGCACTAAATTTATGACCATCTTCAGCTTGAAGTTAGTGGATTCTTCAATATCTAAAATCGTAGACTGACTCGGTAGAGGCTTGATTAGCTGAATGAGTCTCATTCCAACCTTGCTATCAGAAAAGCACAGTGGGGTGATCTGGTCCCAGCAGTTGAGATGAGCCTTACTTGCAGAAATAGGTGTGAGACACTGTCGCAGTTTGCAATGACGCAAGCATCCATAGTCCGAATCGAGGTTCTCACACCCTCGACGGTTTGCAAGCTGGGAATGGAGCGTGTAAGGAGCGGATTCTGAATAGGATACTCCACCGCAGCGTATCCAAACGTTATTAACACTGATGTACGAATCATCACTCCTCTGATGACTTGTAACTCGCAGCCTGGTTCAATTCTCGGTCGGCCGAGCCTCAATTCAGTCGACCTTGAATCAAAGAACGTCAAGACAAGGCTATCGTACGAATGGCCTCAATTGAAGAGGCAAATCATGCACACCCTTTCACAAACAGGCAATCTCCTCTAGAATCAGTTAACTTGAACTCTGTTACGAAAGCCTATCACATCGATGCAGCAAATCTAGACGAGATCGTCTTCCTCCGTCGGTGCTCAAGATGCCGACTCTCTGTCTGAGATCAGTTGATTCCCTGCGTTGACGTGTCAACTGAAAATGAACCATACAACACACTTTTCATTTCACTTGTTTCAATTTTTCTATCACAATCAATATTAATAGTGGATATTTTGCATAAACCCCGACATTGGGTGTGTGTATTATCAACATGGTTTTGTTGTTTTGTTATTATTTCTTTATTTTTTTGAAAACGTCCTATCATTCATCAAACAAGGTTAGGAATTATCAGCTCAAAGTTTCACCATGAATCTTAGTACCAACATTTTACTAATTAAAAGAATAATACCATATAGGTTGCATATTATGAAGCATTTCATATGTTGTTTAAAGAAGAAAAACATTTCTTAATATAGAATAATGTAATGGCTAAAGAATATGAATATTTTTGTGGTAGTTATAGAATTTGAACCTGCACTCTCTAAAATTGTAATCAAAAATCACTTTAAGACATTTAAAATCTCTTTAAAATCTCAAAATCAATTAGATAGATCATAACAATAAACACAGAAACTTGTGCTATTAAACATGTATTTGTGTCTGTATATAGTAAAAATTTAATTAGTTTTCTTTTTATTTGTAATTAGATTTTTATAGCATAACAAATCTATTTTAATTTTTTGTACCTTGGATTTTAAATTTTATTATAAATATCATTAAATTATTTTCAAAACATATACAAACTTAATTAATTAAATAAATCATACAATTTTGAACATTTTATGATTTTTCTACTTAAGTGAAACAATGAAACTATCTACATTTGTACACAACATAATTTAACAAACCAACATGTCATAAAATTAATGATTTAATTTATTTTATTAAAAATTCCTAATTCAAGATTCTGTTTTATTTTAAGAATTTTGATTAATTTAATGTGTTCAATAAAATAAAATAAATAAAATAGAAAAAAATTATCTCAAAAACAACAATTAAAAAATCTATGAAATAAGCATTTTTTGTTGACGTAAATTTCTCAATATAATGTGTTTTGTGAAAAACAAAATACGTTTTACATTCTACCCACCAATTTTTTTATTCTTTATTTTATGCACTTCTATAATTAATCAAATAATTTTAAATTACTTATTAAGTACATTATCAATTGAAAACAACACTTGAGGATGTATTTAAAACAAGCCAATAATAATAATAATAATAATAATAACAGTAAATTGATTCACTAATGAAGGGTAAACCAATATTCTAGCATTTCTAATGTTTGTTTAATCATCAAAACTTACCTTACTCGTTGAGTGCCTCCTGTAGAATATTCCACCCAAGTATTGGAAAGATTCCTTACAAGTGAAGCCACCGTGGGAACAGAGTGTAATGAACGTAACATCCAGTCTACACTATCAGTAGATGTTTATCAAGTTCGAATGTTTCGTGTAATATGTAGCAAATCGAGTACATGCCCCGTGCGATTCATGCTTCGACGAAGCTGCAACTGAAGTCCAATCCTGAAGCAAGCTATGTCGGCCGATCGAATCAGGTGGAGCTTGTCTCCAAATCCCACCAACCCGCACCGCGCCTTCTGTTGTAAGTCTTCTCGCAAATTTAACGCTGCATCTGAGCCGACACAGAGCAAATCATAAACCCAATTGGGTAAAGAACGGGATCGCGTGGCTTCTCCGCTAGATGCTTAAATTCTGAGGATTGTTGCGCTGGACGTGTGAAAATCGCGGTGGCGATTTGTAGGATTTAGAGTGGGAGACGGGAAAGTGGAGTACAATCTTTGCAAGGCTTGGTGTAGAGTGCGATTCGGTGTTGGGTCCGAAGGAAATTAAATTTTGCGCGATTTGAGTGTGTGGGGGTTTTGGAATTAGGGTTCGATGGGAGGAGTGTGTTCAAGCTGCTTTAAAAGTAAAGATCAGCAGGAAAAGGCTTTCTATCAGGCAGCACCGCAGCTTGATCAATCGCAACAGAGGAGTTCGGATGGAGATCGTGCTCGCTCTGATGAAGCCCGAGCTAACGCTGCTATTGCTGCTCAGAAACGGTAGTTCGTTTTGTCCTTTTTTTTGTTACTAGAGAGAATTGTGGTATGTTGGTAACCTATCCTGCTAGAGAATGACTTATGATTCGGGAACCTGAATTGCCTCAAACTTGAAAGAGGGTACGGACAGATTTTTTTTAATATATGCGCAGGGCACAGAGAACTAGCACACAAGCTATTTCGGAGTCTTGAGTTCGTTGAATAGTTGGTCTTCTAGTACGTGTTGTTTGTTATTTTCATGGCTTGGATTTGACTGTGGATCGTTTTGTTTGCGGGGTTGATTGACAGAGCGGAAGCATTTGAGAAATCAGCAGGAGGACGAGCTGCTAGATCAGCCATTGCTGCAGCGAAAGCCCCACCGCCCAGCAGAAATGAACCCGACCTCAAGGTATGTTACTGTTCTGATATTACTTTGCTAGTTTTCACTGTCAGTATTGCGTCATCTGCGTCAATGTTTCCATGTCTAGACTGGAGAATCATGTCGCCCTGAGTTTGTCGTATGCTGCTTCGCAGTGGACAATGGGATGATGTGGATAGAAATTCAATTCGGAGTTTTCATGCCGGCAAAATGGGATGATGTAGAAGCATGACAGGACCACGAAGTAGTGGATCAATCAGTTTGGCTGGTTCTATTGTAGCATAAGATCGCATTAATTCCTTTCTTTTGAGCTGTCATACTAGCTTAGAAATTATTATGGCAGATTGACTGATTGTGTGGATAATTTATGAAATGTCTAGTCCTTTCTTGAAGCAGTGCAATCGCTTGAAGAACATGCATCACTGATCAGTACGTGACCGAATTGTACATAATTGATTGTAAGCTCTGTTAGAACTAACAATGTAAGTTAATTAGAGTACTGAGACATGAGGGGGCGCAGCTCAGATATGAGCGATGTTGCATGACTAAAGTTGTAACGATGTGGAAACGTTGATGTTATACTGAAAAGTTATCATCTGCATGGGTGGCTTATCCCGGCTGCAGATAACACACCAAAACACACCAAAACACATAAAAGCACTCATCGGGAACACAGCACATGAGATTATCCACATAGCCATAAGAAGTGGCACTCCTCGAACTTTACTACAGAAAGATGATCCAAGTACAGAAAACAGTAGACAGTTAAAGGTAGTTGGAAAACCATTAAAAACGCCTCCTGCCATTTAAAATTTACTTCTTCTCATCTTTCTCGGCCTGCTCGGCCTTTTTCTTCCGAACACCAACTAGCCTCTCGTTCATCCTCTCCTGGCGGAGTTTGTAATATCCCTTCTGAGATTTCATCTCGTCGGTAATAGATACGATATCAACAGTGGGTCGAGGCTTGACGATAGGTAATACTGGTCCGATCACCTGGGTGAAGCTCGATAACTCCTCAGCACTCGAGTCCCCGGCCTTAGAAAACCAAGTATTATGTCAGAAACAAGTCAGATAGTAGGTACCAACAAAGATCAGTAAGCTCTAAGGCCGACACAACACAAGCACTTGAAGGCGTGAAAATCCTTTCATATGGACAGGGCTTTAGGTAAAGAGAACGACGCTGCTCCTAAACCATTACGGATATTTCAGTTCATGGATTGAACCGAGCACTAAATTCTCAAGACAATCACGCGACTAAAACCAAAACACTCGCAGATGAGCACTTCAATCCGACAAGTTGGATAATTAAAAATACAGTGCATCCGGTAATGTGCTGAAAACAATTATCATAGAAAACAAAGACATTTAGTAGGATAATGGGAAGATAGTAGACCCGGCATTCTGTGAGTATATTTCATTTTAACAAAACTTATGTTTCACGATCTTCACTTCGACGATGTTTCATAGCAGATAAAAATCAAAACTAGAAGAGAGATGTCACGCATACCTTGGTCTTCTTTGAGCGTCTAGGGAACACAACCAACTTAGCCCTGTAGGTGTTAAGACGGTTAACGTTCTCTTGAAGGCTCTCCAAGCACCGATTCTTACGGCGATGATCAACGGCGATGCCGATGGTGGGTGCAAGCTTCTTTGGGATGCCAGCAGCCTGGTGGAACGCAATTCAATTTATCATCAGGAAACTCATGAAGAGTCGAGAGCGGCTTCGCCCAAAGGATGCATATCCCTTCAATTGTAACGCAGATCACTTAAGCCAAGGTCAGGCTACCACATAGAAATAGATAACCCAAGGTAATCCTAAACCCGTAAAAGTTCCATTTTCTCTTCTTGAAAAGAGTCATTAACTATAGAAATCAATACTATTTACGTTTATTAGTAGATTAGGCAGCGTCAATCCATAAGGTTACATAAGTTATTCTATTAAACAGGTGAAATCAGTGCTAATTAGGGCTGACGTTAGGTTTCATAAGCTTTTATAAAAGATCCAGTGACGGGAAAAAAACACCTTTAACTCCTCCAAGGTGAACCCCCTTCCAGAACGGATCTTAGAATTGTACTTCAAGGTCTGAGAATGCACAACTGGTCGGAGTGGTCCAGCAGTAGGGCGTGGGAACACAGCCACGGCCTTCTTTTGACGCGCTGCAAAACCGATCCATCGCTAGAAACTCAATGTAGGATGCACATCCGACGCAATAGCGCCAAACTCCTAACGCCGCTTCAATGCTTTGCAGAGTCAAGCACTTCCAAAAGCTGAAAAAATGACGACCTCTTCTTCTAACTTTACTAAACCCACCAAAGGTCCTAGGGTTACCGCTGTCACACATATCATAGAGTCTCAAATAACGGACAGTTTGTAACCAAATTCACCAATACAGCGGTGGGATGCTAACCCGTTCTTCTTCTTTTCTTGCGGGCGGGCTGGTTAAACCAGGTCCTCACATAGTTTTGCCAGTCCTTCTTGAAGTGGCCATTGGGGATAACATTGTTATGCTTCACCATGTTTCAACTCTTCACATACACATCACAAAAATTGCGACATCAACAATCCGACCCTAATTATTGCTTCACGAATTACAACAACAACACAAAAATACGCCACTCCATCACAATCATACACTGAAACAGATGCAGCAGTTGGATCCTCCCAACACCCTTAGGGATTCTGAGCTCAATAGGGTGACACAACCGAGTGCAGTTTCCATGACAACACTAATCCTATAATCAAGTCAAGCATGTAGAGGGGAAAAAAGAAAATTTTGAAAAAGCCCGTGGACAACATTAATCAGCACTAAAAGCAATCTTCCTGAGGGAGCTTCACAGCAGAAGAGGTACCTTCAGGAGCATGCAAAGCAGCGGCACGAAGGGTGAGGAAACCTGGAGAGTAAGAAGCGATGACGCGCCCGTCGTTCCTCTATGAGCAACCTCAGCCCTAACGGTGACGGCCAGGATGAACCCGGATCCAACGGTAATGAATGAACAGTAAGCTTTAGGGTATATTTGGAGGAAAATAGATGAACGTTGAAAATTTTGATGAATCCATCCAGAATTTTCGTTCATTTAGTGTATTGATTTTCTCTGTTGCTAGGTGAAGTGGGTCTATTGGTTTTCCTTTACATGTTTTGACAAGCAAAAAAATTATGAGATTTATTAGTATTTCAAAATGATTTAATTCTTCAAAAAAATTAAAAATAATCACTTCAGAAATATTCAAAAAAAACCTAAACCTAAACCTAAACCTGGTCAGTCTTTACTCTGAAGAAAAAATGAGAGTTGAAGCGCACGAGTGTGCGATTCGGAATAATTTGGATTCCACAACAGTTAAAACTGAAAAATATGAGGGAATCCTGCACGTACTTCCATGGTTTATAAATGGTACAAAGTGAGGATTAATTGTAACTCTAGGCTCTAGGTGTGTTGTTGAACTGCTCTGTAAGAGTGTTGTGGGAAGAATCCTAAGCCTGTCGAGGACAATATGATCCTCTCACATCCGCCACAGTCGAGCGCGAGCATGGAAACTCTAGAAAAGTAATCTCAAATCAACTCTCCGCTTGTGTTGGGTTTCGAGCCGTCCAAGCACTAAAGTTTAAAACAGGAAACAAAAATATTCAGGCGTGGACGAGTGTGTTGAAGTTAACTCAAGATTTAGGCTTTCAATGATCTTGTGGGGAAGAGAATGGCTCGAATGGAATGGGCTGGTGGCGAGGATTTCTTGTCAGTACCGCAATCCACTTTCACAGCCATGTCCAGTGAGGATCGATGCCGACAGACCGGCGGAATCGCCCAAGAAAACATGGAAAAGATTATGGTGATTAGGGTTCAGTGCTGGCAAGCTAGGTCTTTCTCTCAGACCGCGATTCTGTCTTTCCTTCAGCAGTAATGTCGTTTGCATAACTCGGCATGATTTTGATGCCACCGATGACATCCTCGCATGGTTTGATGAAGGAGAAAATATTGCTGGAATTAAGGCCGTTGCCGTAGCCCTCACAGTCCAACGCTGGAGGGGCATGGAAACAGGGTTCTAAGGAAACGCCCCGATTGCACGGTCCATGGGCTTGGAACGTTTCGTTGGCTGTTTCCAAGGAATCTATCTTGGTCAAAAACCAGGGAATGACTCCAGCAAGGGCTTGTGCAACATAGCCGAAAGTGGACCGAGGGCTCGTCACTAGAGTGTTGCTCAGAGACAGGAGGTACATGTCTGCCCATGCTTTCTTATCATGGTCGGATCCATATTGCTGATACAGTTCTTCGCTAGGGCTGTAAACCCCGATGTAGTCCGTTCCCTCGACAGGATGTTCCAAATAATAATTTCGCAGAGTTTCGTAGTAAGCCGAGTCCAGCGATGTTACTAGTACGGACGTAGAGCGTGTTTTTGAGCTCAGGAGCATGTCTTCTGCACTGGATGATCCTTTCGGCAGAATCTCCTTCTCCAAGACGCAGGCTAGGAGCTGAAAGTCACGGAACGAAGGAATTAGGGTTTCATACGAACTCGATCTGTGTTTGAGCAAATCCGGAGGCCGTGCTCTCTGCAATCATCTTTCGCATCGTTTGTTCATTTTCTACAAACTAGAACAAAATAAGGAGTCCACATTATGCTTTCTTCCGATCAGAAGATAGTCGGATTTTTCCTAGTCAAAAAGAATCAAGAAATTCAATTGAATTTTGGATATTTGATTTCCAGCGACAGATATTTAAAACTGAGGAAGGGATGAATTGAGTGTATACCTGATCTGCAACGATAGGGATGGTTACATTCGATTCGAGAATGCGAACCTGAAGCCCGACTTGTCGACGTGCCCCATCAAGGTACGGCTGCCGGAATCTCAAAATCATCCCCCACATGGAATTCGACGGCCGGAATAAATACCGTGCCATATGATGAAAAGCAGTAGCTCTCTCTGGAAACATGAGGTCCAGCTTACAGTGAAAGGAATGATCGAAGTGGAGGCCCGGCACAACATAGTTGTTGGACCTCCAGTAAAGAAGTGAAACCTTTTTCAGCTGCTTTTGTATCCTGCTGCAGAAGAACCGTCTGTCGTGTTCGTCATAATCGTGCATGAGGTTCAGGAAGATGTAATCGTTTGGCACAGGAGACGGTATTGTGATATTTCCGAAACCACTCATTTGAAGAAGGCGTCCAAGCCGGTTGGTATTCTCCCATGTCACTGTATTCATCCAGTTGTAGTCATAATTCTCAGGCAAGAGCCATGAGGTTCCAGGGAATGGCTCACAAAACAAACCATCAATATCTGTTGAGGTGTTGTCCAGCAGAAGCACGCGATCTGTAAGAAGTGCATACACGAAAGCAGAGAGGATAGTAATCATTCGGTTGCCAAGCCCACTATTACCAATCCATATCACAAACTGGCAATCTCCAAGCTCCTTACGTGAATTGGTGCCGTTCTTGCTCAGTTTCACAGCCTTCGGTGCGCACTTCCTGTGTCTATTCTCGTACAGCCGAAGCTTGGCGACTAAGTAAGGCGATGGGGTGAACCGACTTGGAATCCGGATCGGACCTTCTTCAGTTCTGCTGATGCATTGTCCAGGCTCATACTCCTTCAGTGCTGGCAGCAAGCCACCTAGGGTTGGATCTTGAAGACTCAAAGCAACAAGTTTGGAAATTTTGGCATCTGCACACAGCTAAGCACCAGTAATTTTAAGTCAGCAGCTCACGTGGCAGCATCTCAGCATATTCTTGGTGCTTTCAACGTATTGTACCTCTTTTTACACCTCCTGGTCGAGAGATTAGGACCTGTCAAAGGGCCCATCAGGCAGCTCGAACTATTACCCATTATTGTAGCGGAGTAATGGTTCAGTGCACTCATGAGTACTTTGAAAGCTACTGCTTCACCAGAAAGCTAGAATTTCACAATAATCAGGAGTGATATGGCATCTATAATTCCTAATATATATATATATATATATATATATATATTTCCAGTAACACTATTTTCTACAGAAATCTCTGCTTACGTTAACAGTAAAAGAATCGGCCTCAATCTCCGTTAATTCGACGTAAAGGTGGAGACCAGGTTCATGTTACGAGATTTCATTCACAGATTCTAGCTTCCTAGTATCTGAGGGTCTCTAGATCGACAACCAAATTCCTATAAGTTCGCGCCGAAATTCAGCACGAAAACTCAGCCCAAGTTGGGAAACTGCACAAGAGGAACGCGTTCTCAGGAACAGCTCAAAATAGCTACATCCTGCGTACTACAAGCCTCAAAGACAGAGAGTTGCAAACGCTTGTGTACCTTGGCAATTCTGTAGGCCTACACAAGTGGTGATGAAAACACAAAGAAGGTTTCACAAACTGTTAGGGAAGTGGGGCGTGGAATACCTGAAGTGAAATCAAGGGGCTCTTCCACTGAAAGATGCCGCGCTCGCACGATAGAATAGAGCGTCAACCAGAGGGAAGAAACAAGACAAAATCCCAAGAAAATGGTCATGATTCCCACCGCTCGGGGCTTACGCGTGAGTCCGTGCCTTCCACCCATCACCATGTTGATTACTGCAGGTTCCAGGTGATGGATCCAATGTAAAACCGACTTGATCTCGTCCGACGATCGCCACCAGATTAACCTGACGACAAACTGCAGGTATTTCCCCCTGAAGTCGACAATCTTTGTATGACTTCACAGGCAAATTCGACTACCAAACTACAAACCCAACCCTCCCACAGTAACTTAGCTGATTTCTATCGCTATGACGTCTTCGCTAGAGCATTGACCTTCAAATCTCGGAAGGTAAAGCATCTCCTCGGGCAGGAGGCGGAGTCTTTGGAGTTTCAAGACAAGATGAAAGATCTGCAGGCAACGACGCAGACCTAAAGAGGAGCTCCGAGCGTGGTGTCGGTGTCATATAAGCACTGCAGGAATTCTGTATACCAAACAACCACACGTGGGTCTAAATCTCATCAAACCCTGGATGGAGGGTACTCGAAATCTAATGGCAGGATCTCAAACCCTCTGCTCTACTAACGTAAAAGCACGTGATAATTTAAACCACATTGCGCATACATTGTAATCTGAAAGTTTCACGAAAGTGTTCGAACACGGATCCCCGCACGCGCTGAGCAACAAAACAATCCGCAATGCAGTAGCTGCAGTCGCGATCTAAATGTCTGGTTCTTAGCAGCAAGAGTTCCACAAAAAAACGGCTCTCGCAGGCTTTGGAGTGAGTGCACTCACGTCGAAAGCGCAGCCGCGTGAGAGAGAGACCCAGACCACCTCGTTCCATTGTCTCAAGCAAGCGAGAGAGCGTCACCTGCGCACAGAAGCCAGCCCCCGCAGGGGGAAGCCTTATGGCCGTGGGGCGGTAGTGGGCAACTGGCACCGACGCAGCCCTATTGCCGCTTCTTGCCGACGGCGACCATCCCACACGGTTGCGACCGCCGGTTCCGTCGAGGTCGACTACTACTGCGACACCAACACGTGGTTGCTAGTAACGAAGGATTCTTTACTCGACTCATGAATCCCTTCAGGTGCCCGAATCGCGGGCGGACATTACTTGCTCCGTTGTGGGATCCTGGTCTTCTTCTACGATTGGCCGCAGCCAGACATTGCTCGAATCCACCCCATTCTAGTTTACTTTATCCTGTTGTACAAAATCCCTCTTCTGTTCAAGTGGGATTAGAAAAATCCGAATGGGAATGGGACGTTGCAAACGGCTCTCCGGTCGAGACTAGGGTGAGAGAGGTGATTCTCTGTAAGTGAGAGACGAAGGTCAGAGTTCGAAACCTGCAATCTTCGACCTGTGAGGGACTGCGATTTATTAAGGCAAGTTTTAAAAGCCTCACAAATCATCCTGATCCATGTGAAGAAAAAGCGAGTATTCAAAATTATGCAATCAAATGAGATTCTGTTTTCTTCAGAATTAGGAACCTATTTTAGAAATATATTACTTTTCCCGTAGTTTATGTAAATAAGTTAATGTTTGTCTTCTTTGTAGGCTGCTTGAGATCATGGATATATGTTCCAATCTTTAACTAATCCAAAACTTAAATCTATATTTGTAATTTTTTTGTTAGAATATATATATATATATATATATATATATATATTTAAATAATGATTAATTTTTTACATGATTTTATTATCAAATCATCCAACAAAGTATCTGTTGGAGATTGCTTTGGCAGTTCCACAGTCTAATTTTATCCTCAGACCAAGTGGCTATGTAGTTTGTGGGCCATACATGTCTCTGTCTCCGCCTACACTATATATACATGCGTATGTTAAATAGTCATTATATATACAAGAATTACAACAAGTTTGGCCCATTGCAATATATAAAAAACACTATATTTGTTTATACTTTCTACCATTTGGACCATTGCAAACTACTTAGCTCTTGTTACTAAGTCAAGACAATTTTTAGGCCTTTGCCTTGAAAAGAGGATACTTGAAATCTCTAGCTATTTGAATTTGCAATAATTGTTTGAAATATATTTAGATGTTTTAAGTATTAAATAATGATTATAGAATCTTAAAAGATCTCAAAAAAATTACTTATATTGATAATATAAAGCAAAAAAAGAATTATCTTTTACTTTAGATTTTACATGTTAATAGCTTGATTTTTCACATCTCCAAAAATATATGTTAGTCTTTGATATACATCTACATGTAACCTATCTTGATTCATACTAAAGTATTTCAATCAATTCTATTCTATTGCTTGATAAGCATCTATAACAAATATTTGTAGCAACTTTCTACTTTGTAAGATAATTAAATTTTTATTATATTATAGAAATAATTAATACAAATAATGCTCTATTTGAGTAACATAAGTAATTCTTGTATTTTTGTTTCTATCTTTCTTAACATTCATAATTCTATATCTCATTTGGTTATACCATTTAAGTTTTTTGAATGGAAAAAAAATATCATAATAGAGTAAGAAGTATGTAAAATGTCTTTTATTAATTTATTGCAATACACCTCTTTTCTATCAAACAATCATATCTTTCACCTCTTTTGCCTTTGTTCTATTATTACACATTATAATAACAACTTCATTAGAAATTACAAGATTATAATATCTTTTATTGGAATATTTTTAAAAAATAAAGGTTTATATATATATATATATATATATATATATATATATTTTCATATTTTTTTTAATTTTAGATAATATTTCATGAGCTTATTAACAAAGTGGAAAAAACAAATGATGTTCTTTTAGACATTCATAAAACTTCCACATTATTTAGAGTAATAAATTGGCATTACATGCCATACTCGCTTTATATGCACTATCGGAATCATTAACATAAAGTTGCATATTACTTGCTTCTATACCTTATTTTGATAAAGGAGTATTTATTTAATTCCAAAACTCTCCAAACACACAAAGGCTATATGGACTATATTCTTGCAAGAAAGTATTATAGACTTTTACATCCAAAGATCTAAATGTATGTGTTGTATTATATTATTAAATAGTCTTTTCAAACTCCTTGCATTGTTCATCTTGTCTATCAATTAGTTTTTTTAATTAATAACACAAAATCTTCAAGAAGTCGAAGCTTAACCTTACTATAAAGACAATATGTACTAAATCATAGATTTAATTTGTTGATGGCATGGTTTTTTCATCCATCTAATAGAATACCAAATAATATGGGATTTAAATATCCATATTTTTGACATTATGACAACCTCCAAATATTTTTCCTTTATTACAATATACATGAAAAAATCGCTCTACTTGTTTATCAAAATTTCCAACTCTATTATGTTTCCTTTTTTTTTCTTCCCTCTATGTACATAGAATTGCTTCTTTTTGTGCCTTTTGTCTTTATTGTCCATTTTTTTAAGGATTCATAGATTAAATAATTTTTCTACTGAAAACATCATTTCTATTAATTATAATATTATATCCTTCTACTTCATATTTATTCCATTATTTATATTCTTTAATACATAATATTTATATTCTTTAATATCTTAAAATATAAGATTAATCATAACTCATCTTTTAATAATATCTTTTGATAAAAATAACTTTTGGTAATAATAATAACTTTTATTTATAAATATTTTATATAATAATAATAAATAATATATATTTTTATTTATTTTTTAATTTATTTTTAATACCTGCATAATTGTAATTATTTTTTAAAATTAATACAATAATAAATACATAAATTCCTCTACTAAATCTCTTAAATTTTTGTTTACATTTGTATTTTCTAAAAGAATATTTTTATGATCTCTTCAATCAAAATTATATCAATAAAATAAATTTTTATTATAAAAAACATCTTTTTGAATCCTCTTATATTATAGATGAAAAAGATGAATGTAAGAAGATATGGCTTAAAATTATTTATGGAAAAAACACCAATTCAAGAATAATGTCTCAAATGTTATATATACTTGCTTAGGATAGATATATTCATATAATTTATTTTTTAATTATAAAATATAGGTTTTTTAATTGAACATAATATAAAATTAAGAAGTTTTAAAAACCACACTTTAATTTTGTTAAAACCACATCATATCTTGCCATCTCATCACCTATTTTACACCCATCTATTATTTCTAACTTTTATTTTTATCCTTGTTTCTCTCATCTCCTTTCTCTATGTTCTTCTTAAATATAGATTTCATATATTTTTTTAATTTTAATATAATTTAAAATTTTAATTATAAAAATAAAATTCTTTGTATTATTTTTATTTAATAAAGATGACATGCTATAAGTAATAGTATTATTTTTATAATGTTAAATATTATATAATATTATTAAATTTCTACATTATGATAAATATTATTAAATTTCTACATTAAAGTTAATAAAGTAAATAAGTAAATTAAAATAGAAGTAGAATAAGCTATCTTTTAGAAGAAATTATCTTAGGTAAGTTATTAATGGTCAAAAGATTTTTTCTTGATATATAAGAAGGCTAAGAAATAAAATAGATGAAGGGACAAAGGATCTTAAGGATATAGAGGATATGCTAAAGGCATATCTTTATAGTACATAAGATATCAATGAATAGTCTTAGTAGAATGTTTGATGGATGTATTTATTATAGGATAAAAATTGTCCATTTGGATAGCAACCACTACTTACAAGTAATGGATAATAGAAGTAAAAATAATCTTACTCCATATTCTCTTTATGTAAAACTTTGTTAATGCTATATATTATAACTTCAAAGTTCTATTTCTTTAATAAGTTATGAGCTCACTCACCTTTAGTTGTGAGTTTTGAAGTTCTTTGAAGTCTTTTTTACTATAAAAAATAAATCTTATGATTGTTTCTGATATTAGGATATGATATCTTCTAAATCTCTTTTTTCATCTAGTTGTTGATATAGCTTTGCTCTTATTTTTTGTCATGTGCATTCATGGTCTTGGAAGTTATGAAACACCTTTGATATTTTATAATACCAGTGTTATATTTCTTTATTGCATTATTGTTATAGACATAAACATTTATTCCAATAGTTACTTATATGATAAGGTAGAAGTAGATAAATATAGATTAATTTCATAATATCTTCTAGAAAAATTTCCTAGAAGCTTCATAGACGTTGTTTTAACTTTATACATGTTTGTAGTTGATTGATAGATTAAAAACTTGGTCAACAAGTTAACAACATACCATAAATATTGGTAGCTTATAGAACGAGCTAATTATGTGGTGTACATATAGATAACTTACTTTGTAAGTTAAGACATGTGTCTAACAAAGTCAACATATGTTGGAGGTTTTATAGAAGATCACTACGTAGCTTCTAGTTAGAGAGTATATATGGAGGCAAGAGAGAATTTTTCTTCACTCTTATCAATGCCTTTCTAGTTCTTAGTCTTATTTTAAGACTTTCTAATCTTCTTGTCTTTAATAATAGACATTCTACTTCAACATATTACCATCTTTGAGTGATTTTTTAGTCTTTTTGAATAATACAAGAGCATATTGAGAATTTTTTATTTATTTTTAAATTCATATCTTTGAAAATTTAATAAGAGTGTTAATTCATTATTTTTATCTTATCTTAGAAATGAGTGAATTATCTCACTTCTATTGTTGTATTTTGCAGGTTATAGATAATCTACCTTTAAAAAAATTATTTAATATTCTAATATTGTTTTTTTATTTTTTCTTTTAAGAGAGCAGATTACTCTTTTTTGTAGAAATTTTCATTTGATATTAAAGATTACAAATTACTCTCATTTAATTTAACTTTAGAAATTTGTTTGAATTGTTTATGGAAAAAAAGATTATGGATGCTACTCTCAACAAAATTGAGAATAGATTTGCAAATATTGTAAATCTTTATGAGCTTATCAATATTCTAAGAATAAAAATCTTATACATTTTTAGCATGAATCATAGAGGTACTATTTCTATACATATAAAAGAAGTTTACAGTCTATGTCAAAAAATTATACAATTGAAGGAAGTAAGTAGATTAGCCTTACAATAAATTTAAGAAGTCTTACTTTTATAAGTAGAAGAAAGGCAAGGATTACTATGCCCAATAAGTTTGATGGAACAAGATCAAATTTTCAAAGATTTTTACAAAAAATTAAGCTCTATTTAAGATGGTTTTTTTTTTCAATATCTCAATGGATTATTTTAAGTAAGATTTATAGGCACATTTCTATCAAAAAGTGTTTTTTTTTGGTTTGCATCTTTGATGAAAAAAGATTCACGACTATTCAATAATTTAAATTTATTCTTTAAATTATTTATAGTATATTTGGAAAAAATAATTGAAAAAAAGTAATAGAGCAAATTTATATTATTATGACAAGGATCACGTTCTGTCACAATA